GGCATCTCCAATTTCTTTCACCACTAAAAAGCAGCGACACAACCTTCAGTCCTATGTCAGTGGGTCACAGTTCCAAGTGTTTGAGAATCCCTGTACCCTACTCCGTGACCTCATATAACCCTCAGCAGCTGTGCTCTCCTTGATTTTATAACAAGGCAGTTCCTTAAAATCACCATGGTAGGGAAAATGGGGACATAGGGTGAGAGGCACAGCACTCACAAATGTCATCAGTGGTGCACAGCCAGGGGAGAAATGGAAAATGCCAGCACAGTATCACACAGCACAACAACGAATATGGCACTGCCCTGGAAGAGCCCTGAGGCTGGATGCAAGAAGGGTTGCAGCTAGCTCGGCACTGTGAAGCGGGGGGATGAGGTCACCTAGATGGATGGGAAGTTGTAACTGCAGATGTGTATAGCTGGGACTCGTAACACAGGCACACTGAGAGCCGGCAGGTGTTTGAGGGGCGTGTGCACACACATGTGCATGTTCACGTTTTGTTCATTCCTATGTGGCTTAGTTTGGCTGGATATGACTTTCTGTATTCTTCCAGTTTTTCTCAGGGAGGAAATCTTGCATAAACAAATGTAAAATTCCCATCACCCGCAAACTGTTCCCTAATGTATTTGTTGGAATACGTAATCTGTTGAAACAAATTCACGTTTTCAATACATGTGTCCTAGCAGAGCTGACCACGCCTGATTTACTTTCAATCCTGTCTTTGTTTATTTAGACTGGACCAAAAGGATTGAGTATCAGCCCGGCTCGGGGAGCATGCCCTTGTTCCCCAGCATCCACCTGGAGACGTGCGATGGAGCTGTGTCCTCCCTCCAGGTCATCGCGGAGCTGCAGACCAACTACATAGGGAAGGGCTGTGACCGGGAGACCTACTCTGAGAAATCCCTTCAGAAATTATGCGGTAGGTTTTTTTCCCTGTTAGAATTTCTTAAATTAATTGCTTAGAAATGATATATATAAATAAAGCGTATCTTTTGGCCTGAGGAAAGGATTAGGCTCTCCACCTGTGTCAGTATATGTAACTTGTGAATGGATTTCAAGTTTATTTGTGGAGGAAGTGTTAGAAGGCTCAGCCGTTGGCATTAGACACCTGTGATTCAGACTCCATTTACCAGTTGAGTGGCTTTGGGCAAGCGATGCAGCAAAGCCTCTGTTTTGCATTGGTACAATAGGGATTAAATGGCACAATGAGTTTAAGAGCACCTAGGACAGAGCCAGGAGAAGCACAAGGCCCCTCTGCCCTGTTGGTTAATAGAGAGCCACCGAGCCAGGGCCAATAGGAAGAACAGTGTCAGTCACTTGGAAAGGGGTTGGTCTCCTCTCTACAAGGCCAGCTATATAATTTGCAGGGCCTAGTGCAGGTGAAATGTGGGGTCCTTGTTCAGAAATCACTGAGAGTTTTAATATAGCAACAGCGAGTCATTAAAATAAGCCCACAATTAAGCATGGGACATTGTGCAGCTGCTCCGGGCATGGCTGTCCACAGCAGAGGAGAGCTTGGGGGGCAGGGGTGGTTATGAAAGAACAAAGATATATATGTATCTTTGAGAGAGAGGGCTTGCTGTTTGGGGGCTGTGAGATGGTGTCATAGGAAAGGGGGCAGGCCAGGGGTTGGGAAGCAAAGCGGATGGTGGGGTGCTATGAAAGGGGGGACTGAGCTTTACTGAGACCTGCTGCATGTCCCCAGCCAGACTCTTCACATGCTTTACTTCATTCATTCCTCCTGTCACTGCTATGGGGGAGGGGTTACTCCTCCAATTTCAGAGATGGAAAATTTGAAGATCAACAGTGAGAATGACTTGTTCAAAGTCACCCAGAGAGACAGTAGCAGAGCCAGGATTTGAAGAGTGGTCAGCCCCAGTATCCAAAATGTCTAGCCAGGCCTCTGGAGCTGGAAGGAACATCTCTCGAGCTGGTCTGTGGGATGAGGGGATGAACGTCTAGTAAGGTGGGAACAGCCCTGTATGCTTAGTAAACCAGACTATTGGTGTATGGATGGGCCTCCTTCATCCTCACCCTACATATAGTTCATTTCTCTCTTGTTCTCATCAAGAACATTCAGGAACTCACATTTAACTCTCTGGCCATGCTGTGGGGAGCTTAGGAAAGGGAGCTTCCTGAATGCACAGTCTAGCCTGCCATCTCTTGGTAGACACCCCACTCCTATCTTTGGGGCATTTCTCCTCTCTCAACATTCACACACACACACATGCCCCTTCACACATACCACTCTTGCTCAAAAAAGCAAGTAAAAATTTATGGAACTGAATGTGAAATAAACCCTGCTTGAGTACCGCCATGTTCCTTTAATCACATCACCTGGCTGGTAGAATGATGCAGTAAAAATGGGGAAAACACCACAACTTCAATATTCCAAACAGCTCTTGCAAAAAATGGATATAAGGGGCTTGCAATATTCAGAAAACTGAATTCAGCCCTCTCTTCCATTCTGCGTGCAGAGAAGCTACCTAGGACAATATCTTTCTTTGAATGAATACCCCATTTTGTTCCTCTCTGCACCTGAATTATAAGTCAGCTCCATCCCAGGCCTCTGTGGGTTAGAGTCATTTCCTAAACTCCTCCAGGTTAGAAGAAGTTGATGGAATCAGCTTGTTAAAAATCAGATGGGCCCAAGGGCACACACTTGTGATTTGATTTTGAATGTTGCCGGGGAGAGATGGGGTGATACGGCGTGTGAGGAGGATTTTCTGGGACTTTGGAACAAAATTGCAGCTGGTGTGTTAACACAGCTCATTCTGTCTGGGCTGCCAACCTTGCCTTGCAGAAGGGCAGGTTAATTCAGTCTAGAAGGTAGTTTCCCATCACTGTGAGGTCTTATCTGGGGCTGGGAGCCACCCTTTGAAGGAGGGGCCTGTGTCTCTCTGGTGGCCTCCCTGTGCCGCCCAGCATACTCATGGGAAGCCCATCCCAGACCCCATGGGCAAGGTCAGTCTTGCTTCTTTGTTTAAAGTCTGACTCTTGAACTACACTATGGTGGTGGGATGGGAGGGGGCTCAGGAGGAAAGGGCAAAATCATAGGAGCGAAACCCAAATATAAACCCGGGGCTGGGGTCTACTTCCACATCTGAGCCCCAGGCACTCTCTGAAGTCCAGGGGAAATGCAGGCTACGCGTCTTCTAAAATAGAAGCTGGGTTGTAATCCTGACTCCTATAGGACACCTTTGGTTCTGGAAACAAGTTTCTGTGTGTTTTCAGTGGCTAGTAGAAGAGCTGGCTGCCAGGATTCACCACAAGGGAGCTGCCATGACACCTCAAGGCTCAATGCTCATGTGTTTCATCCTACAAATCTTTATTGACTTTGGATGGAAACAGGGAGACCAATTAGGATATTATTGCCATAGTCTAAGCTAGAGATAATGAGCTGAACCAGGGGAGTGCAGGAGGGGTGAATTTAGAAGGCAAAATCAGCAAGATTCAATGATTGATTAGCTGTCAGGCATGAGAAGGAGTCTAAGAAGGCTCTAGTGTGAGCATCTACCTGACGAGGGTGCTGCCAACCAGAACGAGGAATCCAGGAGCAAGCGCAGACTTAGGGGACAGTGATGGCAGTTCCCTGCAAAGCATCCAGGTGTGGGTGCCAGATTCTAGCCTGATTCTCAACTCCCCCGAGGATCTGCCTCCACCCTGCTAATCTGTCACTAGAGCCCTTTTTGCCCTTGATGTTCTGCCTCTGCCTGTCAGGGCTCCCCCTTTGGTCTCTCTACCTGGAT